TTTCCCCTTTAATTCCCTCTTTAATATATACCTCCCCTTTAATTCCTAATAGCCCTCTTTAATTCCTATATACCTCCTTTAATTCCTAATAGCTCCTCTTTAATTCTTTAATACCTCCCCTTTAATTCCTAATATCCCTTTAATTCCTATATACCTTTTAATTCCTAATAGCTCCTCTTTAATTCCTATATACCTCCCCTTTAATTCCTAATATATATACCTCCCTTTAATTCCTAATAGCTCCTCTTTAATATATACCTCCTTTAATTCCTAATAGCTCCTCTTTAATTCCTATATACCTTTTAATTCCTAATAGCCTCTTTAACCCTATATACCTCCCTTTAATTCCTAATAGCTCCTCTTTAATTCCTATATACCTCCCCTTAATTCCTAATAGCTTTTTAATTCCTATATACCTCCCCCTTTAATTCCTAATAGCTCCTCTTTAATTCCTATATACCTCCCTTTAATTCCTAATTCCTCTTTAATTCCTAATAGCTCCTCTTTAACTCCTATATACCTCCCCTTTAATTCTTATATACCTCCTTTTTTAATTCCTATATACCTCCTCTTTAAATCCTATATACCTCTGTTATAAGAACCATTATAAAACTCTCTTCATGGAGTGGCACCTGAGCCTTGTGTAAGGGTATTTTTACTATTAATACAAAAAGCATCACTCAATAAATAATAACAATATGGTATTTTTTTCTTTTTTTTTCTTTTATTTACGCTAAGCTATCCGACGTAAACAAATTGATTGAATAAAGAGAATGCTTCATTTGAAATAAAATAACGGAAAAGTTAAATAAGTATAATTCATCATAAGAAACTTTTAAGACAATCTTAAACAAGGCTGAAAAATACACAATTATTTTTTTATAGTAATGTGCTACATATATTTATATTTATTTAACAGATTAATTAATAATTTTTCGTTTTTTACGGGCTTTTTTAAAAATCTATTCTGTATATATTATATTTTACTTCAAATATTACAATAAGATGATAAGTATTTTGAGTAAAAGCACATTTTACTACATAAAAAAAAAATCTTAAGCTTTTATGATATGAAAGATCTTTCAACTTCGCTTTTAATGATCATTATCTTAAAGGGATGAACTAGCTTTTATCTTACTGTTAAATACGAATTTAAATAATTAGGTGCCACTTTTTACCCAAATACACCGAAATATTTTTTAAAATGCTAATTTCAATGAACAAATATTGAAATAAGAAAACTTTTAACTTTAAATTTAGATTGAGTAATTTAATCACTTGAAATTCATTAGTAATTATTAGTCCTAGTCTACCTTATAATACTGCTAATTAAAATACTTAAAGTATTGCTTATTACTATTTTTACTTGTACTTTTTCGGAGGAATGGCCGTACGGCGAAATGTCTCTCGGCCAAATGTCCGTCGGCCAAATGTCCGTCGGCCAAATGTCCGTCGGCCAAATATCCGGCCACTGTAACAACAGAGATGTGTCTATTCAGCGAATGCAATTCTGTTATAATTTTTCGGTGAAATTCGGCCAAATATTCCGTTCGGTCAAATTTCTGTTCGGCCAAATGTCTCTCGGGCAAATATCCGGCCACGACAACAATAGATGTATACACTATTTAGCGAATGCAATAATGCGATCCCTCATCTCAAAAACGTTAAAGCAACTCATAGCAAAACCGTAGAAACGTAAGCCGAAACGTTTGGATTCTAACAAGATTCCCTACTGTTCACCGAATCATTCATGGAATAATACCAATCCATCATCTCAAACTTTTAGGGCGAACTCTAACATAGCCGAAAAATAAATATGTCGAAACATTTAGAGATGCGACTATTCGCCGTATCATTCCTAATGGCTATCACCTATAATTATTAAACAATCCCCACAGAATACATATAGCGAAATGTTTGGGCTGGAAACAATCAAGATGATGATATTACATAGATAATTCATAAAATAATAATGAAGCTTGTTCCCAAATCCAAGGACGTGTGAAGTATGCAAAGTCAAATTCTTAAAATGAATCGAATAAACTCTGGGTAGCATTTTCACGGTCCACCTTTCAATTACCGCTGTTTGCATTTCGCATATTTTCTTATGTGCTGAGTGTGGTTGATTTAGAGAAAAAAAAACTTTCATTTGATTTTTTGAAAATTTCGTTCATATCTTCAAAGAATCACTGTAAAATAAGCATGCCAATTTACGCTGTATTCGGCCAGTTTTAAAAACATCCATATGACTTTTTGTACTGATTTCGATAATGTTGAGTCATTTACGCTACTTCTTATGACAAGGCACCCATTTCGTCCCCAAGAAAAATTCAAACCCACGACTAATAAAGAAAGACGCATGCACAATATATTGTACAAAATTTAGACTATTTTCAAGTGTTTAAAAAAAAAAAAAAGCTAGTGACGAAAATTTAAAATTTTAATCAATTCGCATTTCAAACAATTCTCTCGCGGACGTGGTTGAATGTACACGACTGTGAATCGAAAATCAGAAATTAAAAATAATAATGATCTAAATCAATAAGTCCCGGATATGACGATAAACTATATCCGACATCAAGACCTCCGATCAAGAGACTGGAGGTTCTGAGGAGCATAGAACCACCTCTTATGGCTGTTGTTCCCAGCTCCACCCAATCCCTGGATGGTAGCAACTGTTAGGGTCCCAGCTAAGTGAAAATAGTGAACGCCTATAAGCAAATAGCAAAAAAACAAAACACTATGAAAGTATAAACATAATTTTTTTTTTATAGTAGAAATACATTTTTATACAAAAATTACCAATAATACATATTTATAGTAAAATTGCCAAATATACATTTTATCGTAAAATGACCAACAATAAATTTTATGTTTAGTTGAAGCCATAAAATTTTGTTTAAGAATATTTAGATGTCAACATTAAATAGTCGAAAAGTTTGAAATTCCGCCAAGTAGAATCAGTCAACCCACAAACTTATAGTGCAGATACATTTTTTTATTACAATTAGTTCCAAAATACGGAAATTACTTATATTCTGGCTATGATGTTCCGGCAGGAACGGCTTATGACCAGGAGCTTGTAGAGAATAAATAGCTGTTTTTTGCCAGGTCCTCTCTGACACGGGCGATAGCACCTATGAGGCTCCAACTATAGGTAAGTCGTGGATCCAGAAATAAAATAAAAACACTAAGAAAATATAAAAGATAAAGATATTAAATATTATAAAGATATAATACTAAAGATAATACCAACAATATATTTTTGTCACGAAATTACCAGCAATATATTTTCAGAGTAAAATGATCTACAAACAACACTAAAAAAATGTTAAAAATATATTTTTGTATTAAAATTACAAGCAATATATTTTTATCATCTACAAAGCATATACCTAAAAAATAACATATCTCTGCTCTGAAATGACGTACGAAATATCTGTAGGTGTAAAATTGCGTTCAAATATAAATTGTGGTCAAAATATTTTTATTTCAGCATTAAATGCCCCATATAGGTATCGTTATGCCGCTAAAAAATCAAAGAATCATTCAAGTATATAAATAATATCACGATGGTCTAAATATGTTCACAATATTACTTTTCTTCCACAGAGCTCAGATTTGCAGTTGGTTGTAGAGATTTAGCCTTGTCAGTTCATTGCCTTTTGCGTTGGACCTTGTCGTGTGTAATCCATTTTAATAATCTCTTTTAGGATAGTAACGGAGAGGTTAGTTAGGATGACACACAAAAATTGTATGACAAGCATGTATCGTCTCAGTGGAATTATTCAACCTATAAAGTGAAGCCATTCTGAGAGAACTGAAAGTCAAAGATTCACCATCGGCGGCCACAATCTTAAAAAAAAACATGTTAACACAGGTGACACAGTATTGATAGCAGACAGAGGACGGAAACTACAGGGACTCATACGGGAACTGTTTAAGCAAAGCGAGAAGATAAGGATTACGCATCGATTATAAGAAGAAAGAATGTATGGTTGTTAGCAAAGTTGACTGAGCAAAAAGCGAAATAAATATTAGAGATATATGTAATAACAAAAGAAAGCAAGAATAGACTTAAGGAAGCTTTATTCTGCTTAGGATAATTGATACCAGCGTAGTGACTGTTTAGAGTCCTCTAAAGACGAGAGAGGTCTCCAAAGGGAGGTAATCATAAAACAAGGGCGATTACTCCCGATTATTTTCTTTATTATAAACGATAATTACTTAGAATCCAAGTCATAATCACAAAGCTTGTTCTTGAATTAAGCCACATTTGCGTTTCAGTAATTGTTCTATATAATGGCTCATACCATTACTATCTTCTTCATCTACATGTAATGTCTCTTTAGGACGTTAGCGATCAATACTCTCCACAATTTCCTATGCTTTGTATCTCTTAGTAGTGATTGACTTTTTCGTTAACTTCACTTAACCCTCTTTAGTAAAGTCACAGGATTTCACGATATTTCCCTCCCAAGTACATGTGGGTACGATTGATGGGTTCATGTCTTTCTCAGTGGTATTTTGATACTACAGACAAGCTCGGGTTTTAATACAGTGGCCAATTTCATTTTCCATAGAAATAGCCATTGCACAACGCGCACATCCTAATTAACTTTGTAATTTATAACTTCCACGAAATTATAACGCATGGTTATCCAAATCTACGACATTCAAGATTCCGGTGTTTAACATATTGTCTAACCTTCGAACATCATAAATAATGATTACAGGAAGTTATAAGCTTCACTTACCTTTGGAAAAAAAAGCAGGGAAGGAATATTATTTCTCTTTGAACATACTTACATATGTTAATATGGCGAACCCATTAACTTTCCATATACTTGCACATAATACGGACTTTTTTTTTATAAATACATATAAACAACTCAATTCATAACCCCGAAATATTTATTTGTATGTATATACACACAGCCTTTATATGTTGATATGTTCTTTGATTTTGCATTTAACATATACGCCATTGTTTATACGGCTTACGGCCATATCACGTTGAAACTCTGGTTCTCATGCGATCACCTAAGTTAAGGGACGTCGGGCTCGGTCAGTACCATGGTTGGTGAGAGCTTGTTAATGCCAGGTGCCGTAACCTTGGATATGCGGATGTCGGAACGGCTTGAAATTTGAGATCGCAGTCTGGCCGGATAACGTCTCGAAACTGAAAATCTGAGAGCCAGTGAACAACGCTCGTAACTGGTGCTCGGAGTATGGATGGATAATGGCTCGAAACTGGAGATCGGTGTGTGAAAGGATAACACCTTAGAACTGGAGCGCTGAGTGAGGGTTGATAACGGCACGGAATTCAGTATCGGAGTCTGGCCGGATAATGGCTGGGAAATGAAGATCGGATAGCCGGTGAATAACGCTCGTAACTGGATTTCGGAATGAAGGAAGATAACAGCTTGGAATTGCAGTTTGGGGTGTGTATGGATAACGGCATGGAATTCGATATCAGAATGTAGCTGGATAGCGTCTAGGAATTGGAGATCAGAGTTTGAAGATCGGAGACGTGAGATCCAATTCTAGTCAGATCCATACTCTTCCCTTATCAATTATAAATTATCAATCCACTACCTCTCCCTCCATCTACGGGTTCATTTGTAGGACTTGTATCATTTAAAGCCATTTTTCTGGCTTTAAATGACTTACAAAAGGTTGATAAGCCGTAAGAAAAAATAATCAGTCAGTAGTTATTTATTTCATTGTTTCTTATATCACTTACCTTTATAAATAAAAATGTCCCTCATATACCACCTGGGTGATCACGGCACTTCCCAACTTCCTATTCTTTGTTGCTGTATGCAATGTTTGTCTCCTTAATATTCCTTCGAGACACTATTCCTTTCATAAAACATATTTATATAGGATACTCGATTTTGCCTTTGGCTCATTTGCTTTCACTATGTCATGTATGTGTATTCAACTTACTTTCTCATTATAGGACCCAGAAATTTCAGCTGTCTTCTTTTTTGTTTTTATGTATAAGTAGAAGTCATACTCAGCTGTTTGGCAGAAAAAGCGTTCAATTAGAATAGAGGGAAAACAGCACCAAGTTTAGATGTAACAGAGTTTATCTTCTTCAGTTACTTTCATTAGAAGACATTTTGAATTAATGCATTTACTGACATAACAGAAGTAGTCTTTTGTTATTCAATCGAAGTTAGCCGACAACATGAAGAGGTAAACCAGGCAGCATGAAGACCCAATTCAGACCACAATTATTTTGGGGTTTCTGAAATTCAATTTCTCACTGGGCTACCAGGGATGTAAAAGAGGATATATTTATAATGCAATTGTTAAGTTTGATAAAAACTGGTTGAAAGATCAATGAAAATTAAGAAAGAAAGCAGTAAAAATCGCCATTTTTCGCTATTTACGTGGGTTTTCACTATATGAGTGAACTCACTTATCAAGTTAAATGACTGTTAAACAATCGATTTATTGCTGGCTACAATTTAATGAAGTTTGTATTAGATTGCTTGAAAATTGAGGGAGCATTTACTTTAAATTTTGTGTTGAAACAGATTTGTGTTGAAATCGATTTTTTGTTTGTCGCGTTTTTTTCGCTAAACGCAGTGGCGTAGAAATAAAAATGAGGTATCGGTGAGCTCGCCGTGAGGTAATAAACCTACATACCGAGTTTGAACAAAATCAGGGGGAAAACATTTGACTTATCGATGTTTGATCGGCATTATCGATTATTTATTTTATAAAAGTATCGATTCTTTATGCTAAGAAACTATCTCTTACATTGTATAATGTATGTGCCAAGTTTGGTCAAAATCGTTTGGATGGATCTCGAGTGAAAAGGTATCACTACAGACAGACACACAGACATCCCCTGTTTTATATAGAGAGATTGTCGTTTTTGCTTTCATTTTCCTTAAAACTTCTTCGTTGCCCACATGCTCCATACTCAGAATTCTTTTGTAGAAAACGTGCCTGCAACTTCAAGTCATCTATTCTGAGAGAATTGTGTATAATTCGCTGGCATCTAGAAATTTAATATACTTTCTTGGGTTGGCTAATTATCTTAAACCATTGAAACGACATGATAACAACCAATTCTTTCCTCTACTTCGCCACTGTATCAAATACTTGGAAAAGATAATGGCCATCTTCAGTTGGGCAAGTCTTGTTGATTATATCAAAATTCTTCTTTCCAAGAAATTTAGACATTCGTTCTATTTTTTAATAAAACTGTTAGAAAACATAAACATTTTCAAAGATATGACTTCAACTGAAATTACATTTTTTAATATATATTTTTTTTAATTTTCTAGAAAATATCTTTTTCCCGCCATATGTTAAACTACTTTTGTGTTTTTTTTAAATCTGTAAAGTTTTACAATACAGACACACACAAAAGCATTGGGAACAAACATTTAAAAAGCTTTTTTAAAGAAGCATATTTTTTAATGTGGCTACAAACTTTAAAAATAAGTTGAAAACAGCATATATTTTGCTATTATATGTTTAAGCAGAAATAATCATTTCTCTGCCTATGAACAAATTTATTGAGAATTTAAGAAAATGGCTACAAAACAAAAGTATTGGTAACATATTAATAAGCATCAATAAACTACATATAGCATTTAATGTGACGCCTTTTATTTGCTATGACGGCGATCAGGCGCAAAAAATAATTCCAAATAAGTTTCTTGAAGAATTTTATTACAATCCGATAGGAAAACCACCTTTAGATTGTTCAGGCTACGGTTCCTCGGAAGAGGTCCAATTTGCAATTCCTTTCATAACTTTTCTAATAGATAGATACCAGGCGAATTACTTGGCCACACTAAAACCTTTATTTTCTTTGTCTTTAACTATTCAGTCCGTTTTAATGTAGTTATGCCTCGGATCATTTAGTGCTGTGTATGACGGTACATCCGGCGAGCAAAGCCTATGATCAAGAGATTGGTGATTTTGAGGAGCTTGTAATCACTTCTTAACTGTTGTCATTCTGAAGTCGACCCTGACCCGCTGTGGTAGCAACTGTTATGGTCCCAGATATCGGCAAAATAAAACCAAACACCATGAAAGAATAAAAATACATTTTTATAGTCTAAATACTAACAATAAATTTTATATAAAAAATACCAACAATATATATTTATAGTAAAATTATCAACAAAACATTTTATAGAAAACTGATGAACATTTTTTTTATATTTAAAAATTAAAATTTTGTTCAGAAATATTTAATTTTTGCATTAAATAGCAGATGCATGGTGCAATAAGAAAATTGTCGCCATTTTTATTATTAATTTCACGCATGCGCCTTTTTAGTTTTTTTTTTATTTTCTCAACTGCACAGTATTGTAGGTTCAATTTGGCATCGTCTGTAAGAGAAAGAGCGCCATGACGCAATTCACTCTGCCAGAAATTGGGAAACGGCATGCTGTACTGTTTGGCACTCGCACCGGAATCTCAAATACGAACACCTTAGTCTGTTTGGCTGTCAATCTGAGTTCAGTACAGAGGATTCGGAAATGGTGATTACGAATGTGTTTAGAGTAAACACTAGTGATGGCGACATTATGCCTCCATTCATCCTCCCACAAGGCCTCAGATTCAACAATCTTTTGTTCACCTGTGCTGTTTCCAGGTATTGAACTCACAACTCTTTCGGTCAACTCACTGGATTCAACCAACGCTTTTTCGGAGACATGGCCCAGGGTATAAAAGCTTTGACTGAATCTAGTGACTTGACACAAATATTTGTAAGTTCAATACTTCACTACACCAGAGATGAACAAAAACTTAAAGAGTTGGGTTAAAGGGAGATAACTGATACTAAAATATCCGGAAGAAAACACGTGGAACAAGAACAATCATCCCAGTGGGCGAAATAAAGTGTTCAGTCCGAAATTCCAATCACCTGAAGACCGGAGTGTACAACAGCCGAAACATCGTTAATATGGCCGCGAAGATGAGGACAACAGTTCGAGTAATTTAAAAAGGGAACTAGTGGAACTGTTATAGTGACTTCACCAGCAAAATAATTAAATATATACATAACGAGGTAAAAAATGAACGCACCCATACAAAGTAGATTTTTGTATTTTTACCCAAACAAGTGAGTAATAGAATTCGTTTATTAATACAGGGTATTAATACAAGTATACATATGTACATTATAGAAGTCAAAAATGATTTAGTAAGGATAATGAACCTAAGCATACTGCCTTAAAGAATAAACGTTAATCTAGAGAAGAAGCCCGACGAGGGTAAATTGCAACTCTTCCAGTGGCCTAGTCAGAGTCCTGACCATAACCGAATTGAAAACATTTGGGCAATAATAGACAAGCGTGCCCGTAATTGGAACGTTAACAAAAAATTTTCACGAATTAACAGAATGCCTGAAAAATATAGCGAAAACGTTGACTTACTAAATAATTTAGTCTATAGCATGCCAGGAAGAATTAAGGCCGTTATTAAAGGAAAAGGTTACCCCAAAAAATACTAAATCATTTTTGACTTTTATAATGTACATATGTGCACCTGTATTAATACCCTGTATTAATAAACTAATTCTTTTACAATCTTGTCTTGGTAAAAATACAAAGATCGACTTTTTATGGGCGCGTCCATTTTTTGCCTCGTACTGTATATATACAAAATGCTTATATAGACTCTTACAATTAGAGAGATTCTGGATTATGTATTGTATGGTTAATGTTTGAAGTTTAGACAGGCCTAGCGGATTTGACTTCTTATAATACTAACTCTCATCAAGTCCAGCTAGTTTCATAGAATAATTTTCAACTATCAATGCCCAGGCGTTCAGGCGACCGTAAGATTTATACTATCAAACGATTGTCAATTTTGCTTGAGTGAAGTCTTTTAATTAATACTTCGTAGAGAAAACCGCTACGTCGTAGCGACGTTAAGATAGGTTCTAACGATAAGGGATAGAATTTTAGATTTTATCGTGATCTTACTCTTTATTTCCATTTAACTGTGTTAATGTCACGGTCATAATATAAAGCCCTGAGGGTTGCGATGAAAAGAAACAAAAGTAAGAAACCATACACTTATACAGCATTTAATGTGACGCCTTTTGTTTGCTATGGCGGCGATCAGGTG